ACATTTGATGGGCCTTTTACCGAACCTGTGGATTCAAAAAGGGATCCTAAATCTTCCTCAATAAGTAAAATGGCTTCAGTTAAAAGATTTTCATATGCTGATCTTTATGCACGTCATGTGGATGACTACCAAGCACTTTTCCATCGCGTCTCACTGCAGCTTTCAAAGAGCTCCAAGAACATTACCGTAAATCTTTTAAGGGAAAAAACAGATGAGACCATTTCCACTGCACAGAGAGTCAAGTCTTTTAAAATCAATGAAGACCCCTCTTTGGTCGAGCTTCTGTTCCAGTATGGTAGATATCTGCTAATTGCTTGTTCACGTCCTGGGACTCAGGTTGCAAATCTGCAGGGGATCTGGAACAAGGACATACAGCCACCATGGGAGTAAGTTTTTCTTCTGTCATTTCCTCTAAAATTTATTGCAAATCTTCTCTCTTTTTTATTCTTTGCCCATGTTTGTTGAAATTTTCTTTGATGCCTATAAATTTGACCTTCTGTTTTCTCCCATCTGCAGTGGTGCTCAACACTTAAATATCAATCTTCAAATGAACTATTGGCTTTCTCTCCCTTGCAATCTTAATGAATGCCAAGAGCCTTTGTTTGACTATATCTCGTCTCTGTCAATTAATGGAAAGAGAACTGCAGAGGTAAAAACTTCCTATCTGTTTTGGCATGTATTAGTCTTAAATCTTTATATCTCTGGAGTTCTAATATAGATACACAATAAAAAAAGGAATGCCCTAATGATAGCAAAAGTAAACCATGAGTTGTACACAAGTAGATCATAAAATCAAGATTCAGTACACATGCAAGAAATTAATTTATTTTTATAGGTAATTTTGGAAGATTTTATGTGAAACAGGGAATTGTTGTCCTTCTACCTTCTTACCAACTTCAACATGTTAACTTACACATGCAATCAAGCAAAAGAAATGATTACTGATACATTTCTCTCTGATTTTCACTACATCAAATAATACTGAGGCATCCACAATTTGGTTGAGGTACTTTGTCAATGATGTTACAAATGAGAACTGGCAGACTGAGGGATGAAAGGACTTTTTCCCGAGTCTGTTGATTACATTTTAAGGTGATGTGATTTCTAATTTGTAGTATTTTATGGTGGTTAACATGTGTAAAACAGGTATGGAATTTTATTTATATTTTTTTCTAAAAACAATTTACTCAGTACAAAACTCACTTGACATGTTTAGGATGCAGTAGAGGACATCACTGCACAAGACAACAGAACTAATTTTTTCTTTCTTAATCCTTACAGTGCTGTCCAATAGAGTTTTTCAAATATGCCAATGTTGTTTATGTACAGCCTTCTAGTATTTAGTTGCAATATGTTACAGGTGAACTATAATGTAAGTGGTTGGGTTGCACATCAAGTGTCTGATATATGGGCAAAAACTTCCCCGGATAGTGGTCAGGCCGTATGGGCTTTATGGCAGATGGGTGGAGCATGGCTTTGTACTCATTTATGGGAGCATTACACCTATACGATGGACCAGGTAAATAATTTCAGTCCTTAATGGGCAAAAACATTGTTCAATATTGATTGATGAACAAATCCAATGATAGATTAACTGAAAACCCAATGGACAAAAATCTCATTGCTTCTAAACAGATAGGTGTAGATGGATTAGATTAGATACAACCATAATCTTGAAGTTTGCAAAAAGAGCCTAGAGATGATCATAAAATTATTCTTAAAATCATTTTGTCCTTATGGATGGTGTAACTTTGTATTCAATCTTTATTGATGTTGAGTTGATAGGATAATTTTATCATACCTTCTAATGCAACAACTTATATTCTCTTGTCTATAGTGCACGATCTTCCATATTCGAATTCAAATAGACTCATTGATACCTTCTTTATACAAGTGTACTCCTGTGTGAACTAAGAAATTATCGTAAGCATGCTGCAATTTTGTAAATTGTTGATTAAATTTCTGCTATTTTGTACGTGTATAGGATTTTCTAAGAAATAAAGCGTATTCCTTGATGGAAAGCTGTGCTTCATTTCTGTTGGACTGGTTGATTGAAGGCCGTGAAGGACTTCTAGAAACGAATCCCTCAACCTCCCCAGAGCATATTTTTACTGCTCCTGATGGTAAGCCTGCGAGTGTGAGCTACTCATCGACCATGGACATGGCAATCATTAATGAAGTTTTCTCTTCCATTGTTTCTGCTGCTGAGGTAGATTTATCACCTGAATTATTGAAATTATATCGTTTTTATTCTTTTTAATTTGTTGCATGTTAATTTAATGTTGAATTAAATATAGATTTTGGGGAAAAATGAAGAAGCTCTGATTGCAAGAGTTCGCAAAGCTCAACCACGTCTTTTTCCAACCAAAATAGCAAGGGATGGTTCCATCATGGAGTGGGTGGGTTTAGAACTTTCAATTGGTTCTTCCTCCTTCTCCTCCTCTCTTAAGCTGGAAGGCTTTACATTGCATTCAGAAATTAAGTACTCCTCATCCTCTTTGTCGTGCAGGCACAAGACTTTGAGGATCCGGATGTGCGTCATAGGCATTTATCGCACCTATTTGGCCTATTCCCGGGGCACACTATTACTCTCGAAAAAACTCCAGATCTATGTAAAGCAGCAAACTATACCCTATATAAAAGAGGTTCTTTTTTTAAATGAGCTTGAAGTTATCCTCAGCTTTGCTAAGCAAAGATGTGTATATTTCTTGCGGATTTTTAGTTTCCTGGATTTTATTTGTTTGAATGAAACAGGACAAGACGGTCCGGGGTGGTCGACTGTTTGGAAAGCCGCGTTGAGGGCACGTCTTGGTGATAGCGATAATGCATATCAGATGATCAAGCATCTGTTTGATTTGGTGGATCCTGATCGTGAAGGTGATTTTGAAGGAGGGCTTTATAGTAACCTATTTACTGCACATCCCCCTTTCCAGATTGATGCAAACTTTGGGTAAGCATGTCTCTATGGACATTAATTAGACGAATTGAACTTCAATGATGTCCGGGGACCAGATCTGTCATAATTTCATATTTTCTTGCATTTAGTACTTCTCGATATGATCAGTGGGTTCTAAATTTGCAATCTATCGTACCAGATTATCTGCAGCAGTTGCAGAAATGCTAGTTCAGAGCACGGTGAAAGACTTATACCTTCTCCCAGCTCTTCCGCAGGATAAATGGGCAAATGGTTGCGTTAAAGGCTTGAAAGCACGGGGCGGTGTTACAGTTAGCATGTGCTGGATTGAAGGAGAACTTGATGAAATTGGGGTTTGGTCAAAAAATCAAAATACTGTAAAGAGTTTACATTATAGAGGAATTACTGCAACAGCAAAAATATCAGCTTCCACAGTTTACACTTTTGATAAGCAGTTAAAATGTGTGAAGACTCAGACTCTCTATTGATTGCATTTTACTCAGAAAATAGATTCACAAATAAGTTCTCAAAGAAGACAGGATGTCCAAAATTTACAAGGAACACTTCTTTGTTACAATAATTATGTATTTTATGAGTATTTTTGTCCCTTTGGGTTTTCATAAATATTCGTTACTTGTTGAGTTGTTTGATTCACACTGTTAATTTTTATCACATTTTTATCCGACGAGAATGTACCCTACTACTAACTTGTAAATATCGTAATACAAAGGATATAAATCACCGTCTGGTGATCAATAAAGACAAACTCTTCGAGAAGGTTGATATTGATATGATCAAATATAAAAATACAAATATTTATTTAGAAATTAAAAAGAAAACATCTTTCTAGACGAATTTTAGCCCCTGTTTGGTCTAGTTAGGCGTGTTCGGTAGAGATTAAAATCGGAATAAAATTGAAAAACTAGTCGTTATTGTTGATTTTTATTAGACGAATGAGACCCAATAGCGGCTATATTTTCAATTTTAATTGAATTTTAAGTACGACTGAACACGCCCGTAGATTTTGATAAAAAATTATGAAATATGTGGTTGAAAAGATAACAAAAGTTATTGATTCCATGAAAAGTATAGTTAAAATTGAATTTTAATGGAATATGAGTTCAAAAAAAATGGGAGTCAAACACAGACTTAATCTTTGTTATTATGTTTTCATCTATTCTCTAAAATCTCGAAAAGTTAATACCATTTTCTATTTTAGAAAATTATGGGCTTTTTCAATTTTATTTTATTTTTATTTTTATTTTTATTTTTAAAGAAAACTATTTACGTTAGTATACTCCAAATAATTATGGACAAATTAAAATTGACCAAAAAAAGGTTAACCTCGGACTTCAACCTCTTAATAACTTATACCCTAAACCCTAAAATTCTCCCAAATTTCAACAGTTTACTGGCAGACGACACCAACAGCGACAACAGGTAAATGGCTTGGCGTGGTTCGCTTTCCAGATCTCTCATGTCCACCGCAAGGGCTTCTACCTTCCGCTCTTCTCCGCCACTCGCTGCCGGCCGCCTCCGTCCTCCCCCTGTATCTGCCCCTCGCCGTTTATCCTTCTCCAATCCCAGGTCCCGGATCCCAGTTTTAATTTCCTTTTTTTTTACCTTCTCTTTCATCGGATCAATCATTATCGAACATTTTTCTAAGTTAGTATTGACTTTGGTTTATTTATTTTCTTTTAAAGTGAAGATTCAAAATCTTAGAAAATGAAATTGATTTTGTTTAGAAAATAGAACATGTTTTTAACCCTCTTTCGGATCTTTCGGGTTTCAAAGATTGGGTTCTGAAATGCAATTTTACAATGTCTTACAAATTATTCGATTTTCACTTGTGGGATTTTTTCTTTTTCATTTCCTTAGCAAGTTTTGACTTATATTTTGAAGCCCAGACAATATTACATTTTTATCTGCTTGTATTCCATCATCGAACCAATATTACTATGGGGCATAACTTGTTTCTCCTTTTGGCTTTTTGGGTTTGTCGAAATAGTTTTATATTTAACGCTTCTCACAAACAGATGTTCTTGCGTGTAAATGTAGGACCTTGGGGGAGCTAGGTTGCGTGCAGTCACTGATGCCTCTGCACAACATGGCTGGAGTTAGGCTGACATCTCACTTGGCAATCAATGTTCGAGCCTGCTGCGAGCTGTCCCATGGTACCTTCTGCCGTTCTTGTCAAGATCGCTAGTAGTTTCTTTGTGAGTCTTAAACTGTTGTTATTAGGAGCCAACTAATGCCCATGAAGAGAAAAATTTAAAATTTCATAATGTGTTTTTTAGCAGAAGCTCATTAATTTTATCTCCGTAGACCGTAGTTATAAATGAAATATGTTGATGAATTGAGTCTGGCTATTTCTGAGATATTGTTCATGAGTTGAGGGGTGAAGTAATTGAATTATTTATTAGCTTGTGAAAATCTGTTGATAAGAAAGAGTTGGGATTATTGGGATTGATAGGGAGGACAGGGAAAGATGGGTGATGTCAGCAGCGCTTCCCGACACTCAAATGCAGGACCTGATGCCACATTGTAGGTTGATTTTTGTCCTTTTTTCTGTATTTTGATCTAGTATAATCTTTCTTTGGGTTCAGAATAAGATTCATTAATGAAAGTACTGAATAGATAATTTATAAATTAGAACAATTTTATATTCTTATTTTATTTTCAGTTTTTCAGAATACCTTATTTAATGGCATAGCGTACATTTATATTTTTGAATAGGTATATGAAAAGCAAAACTATTGTTCTCATTGATGTAAATTGAACATTTTGTGCTTGAGACGTACGTCTTCCTATTAATTTTTGTTTTTTCATCTCGATGAGTAGTATCAATACAATTCAATGAAAATTTAATCAAATACAAGGGGATAAATTGAAAGTATACGGACTGTTTCCTTATCTTCTCCTCCAGCTTGAAATATGGAGAAAATCATGGGCAGGAAATTGGAAGGTTTTACAATTGCAGGCCTATACAAAAATTGTACACTTTGTTTATTTGACTTGAAAATTTATTTGTCCTGTGCTTTTTGTACCCTTATTTCCTATGTTTTTCATAATTATAATTTTCCTTTCTAATGCATGAACATGCATTTTCCGAAAATATTGCTATGAGTTGGAACTTTGGCATTTAGTTACACGGTAGAAGTGCCTGTAACATGTGGTAGATTGCTTGTACTTTCCTGCCCCTCAAGTACTTGGATTAGTTTGTTATATTAGTTTGCTTGTACGTACAGCAGTACAAATACATTGATCCCTGATTTTATTTTACTCTGTTTCGTGAACAAATTTGTAAATTTCCATGAAGTTCATATAATGTCCGTTATTAACATGTATCTGATTAAAATTATATGTATATAAGAGGCTACCTGAAATAATTTTGGTTATTTAGATATTTGAAACTGGTGAATCAATGAATTTTGCTTTGATATAGTGAGTGCTTGTATGCAGTGACTTCGCCATTTTAGTACAATATTTCAAGTGGCTTATTTTTCAGCTTGAACATCAATGAGGGCAATAACATTAGGATGTGTGCACGATTGTTTCTCTGGTTTGGAATGAAGATTAGAATAATTTTGCTGACACCATTGTTTTTTCACATTATTTTACGATTTCCATGTTTCAAACAGTGCATACCAAAAACTAAATTTTTTTGTGAGTGAGAAAGGCTTTCAAGCTATTGAATTCAGATTTTGGCACTCATCTTTTTAAGCTGTCAACCTCTGAATTGACTAAACAAGCGGATAAAATGAATTGTGTTGTGTGTGTTGTGTTTATTTATGCCTGCAGCAGTGCAGCATACATGCACATAGGACTTTTCATACAGATGAGGTTAAATAGCTTGAGTATTAATCTGTTCAAATGAATGCTGTGTGGTTTTGCACCAGAACAAAATGCACTTGTATCTTATCTTATCCAAATTCTATACATCTCTTACTCTATATCATATAGTTGATTTGGAAAGATTTTTCAACATTCGTCAAAATTTGAGATTTTTATCTTTTTATTTTGAACGGGAGTTACGGGAGTCAAAGAAGTGTTAGTCGTGTGTGTCTCTTTTTGATGACGGTGTTCGACGCATCCAAACATAAATATTTAACCTTCTTAAGGGTGTCCTTTTTTCTTAGGTTTCAAGGACCCCATTGTACTATTTCTTTTATCAACACTGTAAATAATGTCTTTGTGAACGTTTGGTTCTTTTGGGGGAGTAAGTTGTTGTCAGTGTGCATGTTCTCCTCAATAAACATGGTGCTATTTCAACTGATTGACAATATACCAAGCATATTTATGTAACTCATTTCACCTTTTAAATATGTGGTTTATAGTGTTTTCCGTAGTCGTCATCGATGTCATTAGTATCTTTTGCTAAATGCAAATATTATATCGTGGCAGGTACTTGAACATATAGATGGACCTGCACCACCAGGCGCTTGAAGATCAGAGTTCTCTGCATGTAGGTCTATTTGATGGGAACATCCTGTTTGGACAGGAAAAGAATAATATTGCATTATTATATTATCATAGACTAGACTTGAAATCGTTTTCATATTTGAGCCATTTTTGATAGCTACATTTTTACCTTCATACTAATCTGTATATGGAGTTTGAATTGTGCTGATCTTAGTAGTGGTTGGAGTTCCTTGATATTTGCAGCATTGAAATGATGTTTTGAACATCCAATTAAATTGTGTTTATTCAACACTGCCCAAATCCCACGATTAATTCTAGAATTGAAATGTTGATATCTTTTATCCTTCTCTGTAAGAACTGTCATTTAGGGTATAAGAAAAAAAAAAGCATTTTCTCAGATCTTGTTTAGGGACAATCCTTAAGTCGAAGTAGGATATGCCCATCCATCGTACAGAGAAAGATGAAACCTAGTGGACGTCTTTCAAGCTTCAATCGCTAAGAAAATGTTCTAATATCCAAACTCATGGATAATTGTACGAGCAAAAGGTCTTGTGAAAGGTACCTGATGATGGATACACTTCAATGACTTCATTGTATTCTAGTTTTATGGTGGCAAATCAGATTCTTGTTCTCATTGGTCTTTCTTATGTTATGGTCCCGTCCCCGGCTTTTAAATCTAAACTCAGTTCTGGAAAAGTTTGCCAGTTCAATGAGAACCATTTTGACTTCAGCAGAAGCAATCAACAATGAATTTAATGCTACTTATGGGGTTGCCTGCAACAGGCATGGTATCCTACTATCCTATGCTCGTATTAGACATTTACTATACAAGATTCCATTACAAAATGTCTACATATGAAGGCACATAAATCCACCACCATTACTAATTTGAGAAAAACATGCACTCTGACATGACAGCCGACCGCAATTCAAATGAAGTACAAGACACCATATGAGCTAAAGAACTTCACGTGACAACTAGCACGCATCAATACTAGGGAACAACTAAATAACAACAATCATGCCAAATGTACATCTTGTTTTATTTTTTATTTTTTACATTGTCACGTGTCGATACATGATTGAATATTTTTTTAAAAATATGATTTCCCGTCCAACACTTTTTGAATTATCACACAATGTCAAAAAAAATGAAATGTACACTTAGCATAATTCAAATAACAATAGGATAATGTTATTTGTACATTTTTTTTACACCTTAGTTGACATTATCATTGTTGTCCACAAATGATTGGATGGAAAAACTGTCAAATGGTGTATTGCCAAATGACAGAGTGTAAAAGACGATGTAAAGAATAATGTACATGTAGCATGATTAATAACAATATCCAATCCTAAAAATATTTCATGATAAGGGACAATAGTAATTCCTAGCAGTCCTGGCACACACGTCGACTCAAGAGTTGCTTAAATACAATAAATGAATCATCTCCTGCACTATTAGAGGTTGAACTAGAGATCAACAACCATAATAATTTTTTCTCAAAAAAAGGACCAATGGCAAATTTCTTTATTTTTTCTCAAAGTTTTATTATATGTACATCTAGTGTGTCCCTTCACAAGAGAAGGGTTGTGATTATTTTATTGTGTGTTGCCCCCCTCTTGTGAGAGCCTGTCATATGGAGTATTGACCTCGTATGTACAAGAGTTTTGTTATTTGTACATCGATGGTTGACACCCAACCCCCTCACAATAGCGGTCACAAGGGGTTGTGGGTTTTTTTTACCAGTTGGGGCTCTCCCTTCACCACCTCCATGGGGATGGTCTATAGGGCCAAGAGAGGAAGCAACGTCCAATAAAAAAATTGTGGGCTCCTCTATTATGAGGGGATATACACCGAGGTGCACATATCAAAACTCGTATGTATAAACAACAAAAATCTTTTTCTTAACCCTGTCCAATGTTTATAGCTCAACCTACCAAACAAATAGCGTTGTGTGAAAATTAGCTAAGATTAAAATGGGATCTCTTTTTTCGGGTGATAAGATAATTGTGGGCAACTTGATTGCTCTAATTATTATTGCTCGTCATATGAGAAGACTCGGATTCAAGTACAAAACCCTTTAATGCACTTCCACTGTACCCACAAAATGCCCACTACACGCCAGAAAGTCTCCAAAAGAAGCCCCAACATGAAGACACCCGTGTAGATACTGATGTTCACAGAAAAAACTAAGGAAAACTGGTATGTATACCCCCCAAATCTTTTTTCCCTACTTTTTATCACCATTATTGCCAAGTCTACAGACCCCACCACATAAGAATCATATTACTCATCGAATATGATATAATTCTGCCACCACTCCCTGCAACATTTATATTCTGCATCAGAGCTTATCAATCACTCACATTTTTTGTTATACTGTATGTTCGGGAAAAAAACTCGTTCTTGGTGGTTTCCATCCTCTTTATATTTCATACCTACCACACATAGAGCCAAAATAGAGAAAAAGGTGAACCATAAAAAGTAGAAATGTTATGTCAAGAATAAGAGCACATATTCATTCATGAACAAGTGAAGTAAATAGAAGAACAAAGCTAAACTGACCAAAACTCTCTGCGAAAAAAGAGAATATCAAACATAAACTAAAATAGTAGTTTCATGGCAGACATCCCAAGCAAGTTGTAAGAGAGGAGATGGGATTCGTCTCGACTGACCTTGTTTACTTTAAACTAACCCGTTAAAAAGACTTTAAAGTTGATGTTGTTTCAACTTTCAAAGAGATATGAAGAGGAAAATGAGAAGAGGGGAATCTAAAGCTTGACAGAGGCAAAAGTGAAAGATGGCAATCTTTTCTTTTGGAACAACTAAGAGTTACTTGGTGGGGACAGTGAACAAACATATGATAATTTCAAGATGTCCAATATCACTTCCTCCTCATGTCAGTCTCAGTTCATTCTCTCTCTTTCATATGGAACCATTTTTAGAGTTGAGGAAGTAGGATTCACTATAGTCTCTTCACACATTCACTGTAATTCTACCACGAAGAATCAAGGATAGAAAGTTTATCAGACAAAAGAAACCTGCAGCTACCACAAAAAGATGGAAACTGAAAAAAATAGCCATCGAGGAGAATGGTTGAATTTAAGCCTTGGAAGGGATCCATCTCAAACGTTAACAGACTTGGAGTCACAATCAAGACCTGCTTCTAAAAAAGTTTTCTCATGTAACTTCTGCTTGAGGAAGTTTTACAGCTCACAAGCGTTGGGGGGTCATCAAAATGCTCACAGAAGAGAAAGAGGTGCAGTGAGAAATTACCAGTGGCACAGGATGACAATGATGGCTCTACCTATTCATACTTCCATGATAAGATCACTTGGCGTTCAACCTCACTCGCTTGTACACAAGCCAGGCAGGGCTCAACCACTTGGAGGAAGATTTATTGAGGATAATACTGGGTTTGGAATACAATATCAGCCCAATCACCTGGAGGAAGCTGCAGATTTGATTTGGCCTGGAAGTTTTCGTTTGGATTCACACCAACCAGAACAGAAGTCACAGAGTCCAAACAAGCTTGACCTGAATCTCAAACTGTAATTAGCCTATGCATATTACTCGATTGAAATTATTCGTTGTAAGTCACTATTTAAAGGGTATAAGCATTACTAGGTACATCAATCCAAGATAGCTTTGCCATCATAAAGCAGGACTAGATCCGGAATTTCCTCCTCCTGTCTGAAAGAGATTTACTGCTCTTCACTTATGATGTAGTGCCTAAATCCTAAATTTACTTGCTGTTTAGATGATTCTAACCCCTAAACACATGAATAACACTACTGAATACTCTTTTCAACCATGTTTTTGCTTATTATAGAAATGAACAAAGAAAAGGCGTTAACAAAGAATTGTCGACCTGAATACATCTTTCAGTTTGATTCTTTGCATCTCCACTACTTATACCCGAATCATACTCGGGAACTAGACTGGATTATTTCAAGTAATAAGGCAGGTTACTAAATAATTCATGACACTAACTCCATCAAAACAAAAAAATGGTTGTTAAAATCATTCCCCAAATACACACCTGAATAGATTTGAGGGCTTATCATTCACTCAATACGTTCATTAAACAATAGGCGAAGATTATTATGTTGTATTATGTAACTGCACATTCTAAGGGTAAAGTGTTAGGAATAACTGTTATGAGTGATCTCCATCTATCATACAGAATGGTTATGATTTCTTGAATTGTCAACTAATATTCAGAATTTTCACCATAAATAACTATTTTCCGGCAGTGGTTTGTCCAGCTAGAAATAATCTCGCCAATATATTACAGCCTAATAGATTTATGTAATCGTATGCTTTTGAGTCCTGTGCATTACAATTGGGAGCCTTTCAATGCTTGGATCACTGTTAAAATGACTAATAACTTAAGGCCCTGTTTGGTAAATATTATTT